CTGGGCAGACTAACCTCCAGGACTGCCGGTCTCTTCCATATGTGCCATGCATCCCACAAGAGCACAAAGTGTCCCGAACCAAGAATAACATCCCTAGGAGTAGCCATTATCATCTTTCTTCTTCCTATCCCTGTCCTCAGTTTCAGGATCTTACTCCTTAGAGAAAGAAGAAGAAAGTTTGTTTGTGTTTTTAACATAGAAAAAATACATAATCTTTTGTTGCTCATTTTTTTTATATATAACTGTGTTTCTGTTGGGTTTTCAAAAAGTTGGCTTTTTCATTTATTCATGGTCACAGAGATTGTTCAGGGGACTCCTAAAGTACTAGCATATACCATATAGTGAGCTCTTGTAGAGGAGTTAACATTTAATAATATTTTTCTTTCTGTTTTCTTTAGCTGTCTTCTGGGTTGATCATAGAGTTTTCTGATAACGGCACGGATGAGATTGGTTCTGGCGACTATGGAGACTACGAAGAGCCATGCTTCCAGCATGAGAATGCTGACTTCAACCGGATCTTTTTGCCAACTATCTACTCCATCATCTTCCTGACGGGAATAATCGGCAATGGATTGGTTATTATCGTTATGGGCTACCAGAAGAAGCAGAGAAGCATGACTGACAAATACCGGCTGCACCTCTCCGTGGCTGACCTCCTGTTTGTCATCACCTTGCCCTTCTGGTCCGTGGATGCTGCCATAAGCTGGTACTTTGGGAACGTGCTGTGTAAGGCAGTCCATGTCATTTACACAGTCAACCTCTATAGCAGCGTCTTGATTTTGGCCTTTATAAGCCTAGATCGCTACCTGGCAATAGTCCATGCTACCAACAGCCAGCGACCACGAAAGCTGCTAGCTGAAAAGGTGGTGTACGTAGGCGTGTGGCTCCCAGCTGTGCTTCTGACAGTGCCCGATATCATTTTTGCCAGCACTAGTGAAGTGGAAGGGAAGTACCTATGTGATCGCATATACCCTCATGGAAACTGGCTGATTTCCTTCAGATTTCAGCATATCTTGGTAGGACTTGTCTTGCCTGGTCTAATAATCCTGACTTGCTACTGCATTATAATTTCCAAGCTGTCGCATTCAAAAGGCCACCAGAAGCGCAAAGCCTTGAAGACTACAGTCATTCTCATCCTTGCCTTCTTTGCCTGCTGGCTACCGTATTATATTGGCATCAGCATAGACACATTCCTCTTGCTAGGAGTCATCAAACATCGCTGCAGCCTGGAGACCATAGTGCACAAGTGGATCTCCATTACAGAAGCCCTAGCATTCTTCCACTGCTGCCTCAATCCAATTCTTTATGCTTTCCTGGGTGCCAAATTCAAAACATCGGCACAAAACGCCTTGACATCAGTGAGCAGAGGATCAAGCCTCAAGATTCTCTCAAAAGGCAAGCGTGGGGGACACTCTTCTGTTTCTACAGAGTCAGAATCTTCAAGCTTCCATTCCAGCTAACACTGCCCTTTGCCGTCCTTTTATAAATAGACACTTTTTAAAAGTTGCGCAAAATTTGAGAAAAACAAGACTGACCATTATGTACAGTTTTATTTACAGTTGGAATTTTATATTGTATCTTTTAGTGTCTGTGATGTTTAATTGACTTATTTATATAAAAAACTTTTGTATTGATGATAAACTGTCTAGGCAGGACCTGTGGACGAGTGATTAGTTCACAAAAGTTTTAGTGCTTGTTTGGTTGTATAGATACGTGAACTAAACACTTCTGGATGGTAGCAAGTGACTATTAAAAGTTTAGAAAATATTTCTGCTGTTTATATGTAAATGTTTTCAATGTTGCTGTTAAAAATTCTTAAACTTTGGCTGGAGATTTTTTGCTTACTACAAGATGTTTGGTTTACAATAGTTTAACTCGGCTGTAGAAATGGCATTATAACCAAAGCCTCCTGTTTTATGCTAGTTTTTTTCCCCAGTTCTCAGTAATTCATAGTTTGCAAAAATTTCTGCTCAAAGTAAATAAAAGTACATGATAAAAAAGGTTATTTGAGTGGTATTTTCATTTCTGGTTAAATGTGTTTTTCCCTTAATGCTTTGATTTACAATTCCTAATTCAGAATAAATTTCTTGGAAAACAGTACAAATCTCTGCTGTGATTTGGGAGAAAACAAGTTTCAGTATGTACTGATGATTCAGTACATGAGATTAACTTAGTCTTATATGCTAATAGTAGTCAAAAGTAGTTATATTTGACATTGTGTTTGGACTCAAAAGAGGCTGGGATGTCTCCTCTGTGCAAGGTAAGTGGATTTTTCTTTACAGAGCTTTCCCCATCTGGTCTACATCCATATTTCATTAAGATAATGTGTAGCAAAGTCCAATTGATTTTGTGACATAATGAAGATACCAAATAATGCTTTTTTAGAGAACCCTAATTACTTTTATCCTTATACTATTTAATTTTCCCAAAACCAATCATGTTTATCATTAATAAGCCTAATCCAAAGGCTAAATATAGTATAATCTTGTTAACATTCTTTTTAGGAATCTAAAATGTGTAGTCACACAGCCTTTCAGAGAGCCTTTTTAAAAATTAATTTTAACTGTTTTTTTAGCCAGCCAATAACAGTATTTCCAATAATTAACACTGAAATATTTCTGTTAGTAACAAATGAATAACCAAAAGAACATTGAGAATATTTCTATATCTCTACTTCATAACATTTACTGTTTTATGAACAGTTGACAGTTGTTTAGAAGCTTTAAAAAAAAAAGGAAAAAAACAGAACACCTATTAATCACACTAAATAGGCAACAAGGATCTTTCAATGAAATTACTCACAAATATGTGTTTTCACAAACATTGCACAAGCATGCTCCCACTTTTGGCATTTCTGCAGAACCAGAATATGTTCCATTTTGTATCCTAAATATTAAAGTAGTTTTACTTTAGATAGGTGCATAAATAAAAGACCTTTCTGTTTTCATCTCCCCTCCTTCTGGGCAGTCAGCAGACTGTACTGTCCTGGCTGCATCCTGCACCCTTTTCCCCTGGACTGACTACAGCAGCCACTTAGAGATTCTGTGTTGTGCTGATTCAACATGCTGAGCCACTACAAAATTAACCTGCCAAGAATAAATAAATAAATAAGAATAACTTTCCTGAAGTTTAGTGAATTGAAACAGCTCTCCAAGGAGTCAAACAAGTAACCAGAGCTGATGCAAAGAAGAGGACAAGAATCTGCTATGGCCTGGAGCCAGGCCCAGGGAAAGCCGGGGAGGGAGGGGGAAGCTGATCCCCCTGTTTAGCAGCAGTAACGTTTTAGATTAATTCAGTTGTAACGCAAAACTTCACTCAGCATGAGATAGCAACAGGGGAAAAAAACAGAATTCTCAAGAAATAAAAGATCCTGCTTTCATCAAATTGTTCTTCACAAACAGGATTGAGAAATGAGGAAACATAATTTCAGAGGAGAACTTCTTAAGTGGTTTGTTTTGGTTCTTTGTGTGTTTTCTCAATTTACTGAAGGCTTCTTTATGAAGAACCCGTTGTTCGGAATGATTCTGATTTCCACCCCAGCCCAATCAATCACTGTGATTTAATTACACTTATAAAGTACTTATTAGCTATGAACACACCGCTGCTTATTTGTTGAGGAATCATTTAGAGCCCCTTCCATTAGTTTAGGTTATCCCCATTACAGGACTTCACAGTCAGTTGTTACCTTAAGGAGAGAATTCGTAGGAAAGAAAGTACAAAACAGAATAAGCCTAGCAGTCCCTGTTACTGCCTAAGAGCACTAAAAGACACTGTCAAACAAACTACACAAAGCATTCAAGTAGAAAATAAATTATCAACTAGAAAATAAATTAGAAAAAAATAAAACCTAATCCATGCCCCTAGGCATGGAACCTACAGAGTTACATAAAATTGCCACTGTTCCTATAGAACTAGTGACACTATAGGCAAAAGGATGTCTTTAAAAAAGGGTTGTAAGATATTTGGCATTGGGCTCTGGAAAAGAAAATGAGTCAAAAGTTATACACAACTGTTTATAAATATATACCTGTAACTATATGAATATAATACATATTTGCATTATGTATTTATGACAAAGTATTTGTAAACTGAGTGACACTGGCATGCAGAAATATTGTAAGAAATTTTTAATCCAACTCTGCTCTTTCAACTCTATGTGTATCAGGCAAATTTCACTCAAAGTCGTTGAGTGAAATACACATTGATAAAAAATAGGAATTTGTTTATTTTTAAAACAAAGTCATCTTTAAGCTGATTTTTGGAGGCTCTCACTTTTTCCACATGTTTGCAAATCAAAAATAGTTCCAATAAATGTATCTGTCACAATGAAAAGTGAGTGACAAAGGTCAATAGGCCAAAATTTGTAAATTATACATTGGATAAGTCCCATTATAACAATAACAACAAAAAATGTATCTTTCCACCTTAGTGGACTACTCACTCCTCTTTCACATACAGGATAATCAATTAATGACTTATTTTTCCTGACATAGGATGTCGTAAGACTAGCACTGTCCCTAACATTTTAAATACGCAATTCAAGATACAGAGCAGCAAACAAATGCTGTGTGCAGGTGAGCACTGGTTACAAACCGGTTAAAACGCTTTTACATCTCCTATGAAATTACATACATATTTAAAGGATTCAAAATATCTTTTCAATCACATTAAAGTACTCTTTCTACAGAATGCAGGCACCTTGTTTGCCATGGTTAACATGCTAACAGCAATGTCTGGATCAAAACATGGATATTCACCTAATACTGTAATGTAAGTCTTGTAAATGCTAGAGATTAGCTGGAAATCCTTTGGCTCATGCAAGGCTAAACCAAGAACAGAACATGAACTAATTTTGCTTCATCTGAAATGCTGTTCCAAAATAAAGTTAGAATATGTAACACAGTGGAAATAAAATTACACTATAATGCATTATTTGTATACTGGTATATTTTTACTCTGTTCTAATCAGATTGTACAGACTCTGCATTTGAGGAGGCTGTGCAAGCATGAGAGCCAGTGAGGCTATCGGAGCTCATATGTGCAGCCTATAGAAAGAGGGCACCGAGGAGGTGAATTTTATTGTTTTATCTTGGGCAATCTTACGCCACAATCATTATATGGGGGGTCTGACTTCTATGCATATGTCAGAACAAAATCTCCATGAACATAAAAAGGAAGTGGCAGGAATAACACGTCGCCATTCATACAAATGAATGGTTTATCTTATGATGGTCAAGCTCTTGTTGGACAATGTACAAAGCGACCACCTCTAGATGTTTGGCTGAAAAGGCCATTTTTTATATTGTTTGGGAAAGGAAACAGCATGATGAGGAAGTACTTCCTTGATCCAGGCATGCCTCCAATATCCCCTAACAATGGGGCATTCTCATATTCTCAAAGTGCTGAAACTTAGGAAACACTTAAGCAGATAGGGCACCACAGTTTCTGCTCAGAGGATGCCACTCCCTCACTTTATGTTTGGAAAAAGCTATACAGTCTCCTTTTCACAGCCATAAATCAAGTGCCAATTGAAATTACAAGAGCACTGAGATTACTTCTTATAAAACAGGCACAAATTAAAAAAATAAATCTTTTCATTCTACAATTTTTTGTCATTTATTTTCCCTGAAAATATTTTATACTGAACAGGACGAGGTTTAAAGATCATTTGTTTTATTACAAACCCTATACAGTAAACATACTCTTCATCTCTCCATCTTTCCAGTACTAACAGGACACAGCAGACACAGATGTAGTGCTTATTGTTCCTGAAAACAAATGAAATCTCATCAGTGGCGATTACTAGCAGTGTTTTCAAGTGCTGAATGTGAAAATCCAGACTCCAGTAAAGCTACTACTGACTTCAGAGGAGTCAGGCTTCCTTCTAGATGTAGTAAACACTGATTCAAATGA